TATTGTAGGGGATGGGTTACACCCCACCACAAGGCCCATCAAATGGAGAAATCTAGCCCAACATGATAGTATATTCGGCCCATCGGGGACTATCGAAACGACTCGACACAAAGCGCGTTTAGTAGCGCGACTGGGAGAGTCGGCTAAAGTACAAGTTACGGGGCTACTAAACAGGCCTAATAGGATTCAAGCCCAACAAGGCGCACGCAAGTTAGGGCGAACACGAGGGTAAGGTCTATAAAAGGGAAGAGGCAGCAAAGGGAAAGGGGATCCGGAATTGGACATACTCACTTAGCGGCTAGATCTAGGGTTACTTAGCGATTAGGTGGTTAGATCTGGGGTTTACCCACCTTCCTGTTTAGTCACCAGCTCGTTTAGTCACCCTCCTGTTTAGTCACCTTCCCGTTACTCACCATCTTGTATTTCCGGCCAATCCGCCTCTTTACTCTTCTCTTTGTAACTCCTTGTTCAGATCTAATAAAACGTCTTTGTTCGCCCTCAACTCTCTTTATATTGTTCAAACCATTTTCACCTCAAACATATATCATGTAGGTTAGTTATGTTTTTTAAGTACTAACATCTCGACTGTCTTAAAGAAAAAAAACGATTCAGCTAGTTAAAAGCGGACAGACAGGCTTTTCGGCCCATTAAGAAAATGGTTACAGAGATGTACATTTCTGAAATAAATCTAAATATAATGTGGGCCTGAATTACAAAAGCACCATAAAAGCCTAAAACCCTAGAAGTATCATCATCTTCTCTCTTCAAGATCAGAAGACGCCGCAGCTCTATCTTCCAGCATTTTCCTCGGCAGACATACAGGTACGCTTTGAAACTCTTAGAAGTAATCCAACAGATTTGAAAATAATGTGGAAAAGAAGCAAAGACTTTTGGTTTATCTTTTTTTTTTCTACTTGGTTTAGTTTATATATGAATTGGCTAATATGGTTTTGGGATTGTAGAGTAAAGAGAGGTGAAAATGAGTCGTGCAGCAGCTGCAAAGGGGAAGAAGAAGGGAGTTTCCTTCACCATTGATTGTTCAAAGCCTGTTGATGACAAGATCATGGAGATTGCTTCCTTAGAGAAGTTTCTTCAGGAGAGGATTAAGGTTGGTGGTGGTAAAGCTGGTGCTCTCGGTGATTCTGTCTCCATCACTCGTGACAAGAACAAGATTACCGTCACCTCTGATGGCCAATTCTCCAAGAGGTTTTGATCAAACTTGACCACATAGACTGTTGAATCTTTAAGTTATCTTGAGCTGCTCATTGTTTTGATTATTGAGTTAATGAGTTTAGTCATTCCTAAAGTAAGGCTTGTATGTTTTGTGTATGTGTGTAGATACCTCAAGTACTTGACAAAGAAGTATCTGAAGAAGCACAATGTGAGAGATTGGCTCAGAGTGATTGCAGCCAACAAGGACCGTAACCTCTATGAACTGAGGTACTTCAACATCGCCGAGAACGAAGCAGAGGAAGAAGACTAGAAACCAAGATTATATCTTCCTCTTAAGTTGAGTTTTGATTCTACTACGGTTATCTCTGTTCTAATTAGATACTATCTAGTTTGGTTGAAGTAATATACTTCCTTTTGTTGTTCTGCGTATTTGAGCTTCTATGCTTCTATGCAGTTTTGTATTTTTTTCCAGACAGTTTTGGTTAAACCGAGTGGAGTTTTGCATATCATTCGTTCTTAAATCTGTTATTTCATTGATACTACAAGTAGAAAGAATATACAACTGGAGTATAGAGATTGATCAAGATTAATGATACTTAAAAAGCAGAGAGTATATGCCATTGACGTAGGTTATGTTCGTATGTGGAGAAATAAAGTCAGACGAATTCGTGTTCTTCAGTCTCAATTCTGGGTTTGGATCAGTAGTTACTTTTGATTGGGTGTTGTTTTATCACTACGTTTAAACGAAAGAAGTCTCTACTTCTCAAAATAGATATACAGTAGAAGAGTTTCAATCATTCCAAGTAAAGCAAAGAGGTAACAACTCTACTTGGACATCTAATTCCATTCTTTACTCTAAAATCGAATAAAATGAAATATGGAATAATAAAATATTTTAATCCTATTTCATTCTCACTTTATAATAGAATTTACTCTATAAATAAAACAATTTATTTTTATTTATTTATTATTTTATTATAGAATGAAAAATAAAGTTGGATTGAAACATTTTTATTGCATATTCATTTACTATATTTTAGAGAAAAAAATGCAATTTTACATTGAAGATGTTCTAAACAATATGATTAGTCGATTAGATTTATGTTCACTGTTTGATTTGTGGAGTTTTCTTACTCTGAATAGTTGGTTTCTATCAAAAGATAAAGATCAATGCGAGAGGCGACTTTTCAAATTTTGCAAATATGAATTTAATAACACTAAGTTTTGATCCGCGCGCTAGTAAATACTTTTTAACAAAATCTAGTTTTGCAACATTCTTTCGATAACTAAAATCTAAACATTTTAATTTGAGTGCATTTGAAAACTATATAATTATTTTATTTGTATCTTTATTAAATATAAAATTTTATATTACTTAATTTTCTTAAAAAATATTTCAATATGTTTTTATATAAATATTTTATAAAAAATCTGTAATCAGTTTGATTAATTTTGTGATATATATTTATTTGATAAATATTAAATATAAAACTTATTTTGTGTCAATTTATTGACTCTAACATTGTATCTGTTTAAAACTTATTTGATGTCAACTTAAACCATACATAATCCTGTATTAATAATTATATGCTCTTAACAATAAAAAAATCTAAAAAAAAAATCTAATTAATTTTTTTTATTAAGTTTAACTAAATGAATTTTATTTATAAATATAAATAATTAATCTATTAATTTATTTTCTTATTAAATGAAATTATTTTGCAGTGTTTGAACCCCAAAATAGTTATACTTATTTTCTGAATTTGTTTCATAGATGAAAATAATGCTTTAGCCAAATCATTGAAAAGGAGATAGATAAAAAGTTATTATTAATATATGACCTTATGTTTTATATTGTTTAGATATATGATTAATTGTTATGTTGTTTAACACACATTTAGTAGTAATATAAGAGTGGGAATATATATTAATTGGGTAGATCAAACTATATAGTAAAATTGTGTATTTAATTAAAAAAAACTTAAATCTTCTAAATTATGTGAATTCAGTTAATTTGAGTATATTACATGTATAAAAAGCTTTGATAGTAAAGTGAATCTTTTCTCTCTCAGGCACGTTAAGTAAAGCTAGTTTTTAACCGCTGAATTCTCATCCAAGCATCCTTTTACCCACTGTTTCTTTCCGTTTTCGACCTCAAAAAGCCTGCAAACCTAGAGCTTTTTTTAAATTTTTACCTCTTTAATTTTTAACCAGTGGTCTCTTGGTTGACCTCGCCGGAATTATGCAAGGACGGTGGCCTCCGACGCTCCTAACCTTCCTCTGTGGGGGGGGGATATCCGGTTACAAATCCTTCTAGTGCTCTGCTGTGACGTACCCAAGCTTCCTCTCGTTCGCCAGACCCATAAAAAGCTCACCTTTCAACAACTTACCATGGGATTTTGCTGTAACCCAAACAAAGAATGGACTATGTTTTCACATATGACCTATACTCTTTTACAGTGTTTTGGTCTCTGTTAAAAAACTGTGTTCCAGCTTGTTCTCTTGTGACTCTTCTTCCTCGCCTTTGTTAGGTCCCAACTCCTACAAAGGAAGGCGGTTTCTTGCAATGGTCCTCAAGCCTTTTCCACAGATCTCGAACCCTTTTGAACCTGTAAAAGTTAACTATTCCTTCTCAGTTATGCGAACAATCAACAACAACCAAACTCAAAGTTTAAACCAGTATCAAGAAGAAGATGATGAAGATCTGGTCATCTTACCAAATGTTGACAACTTTGAGCTTATTGCTCAGTTTAAGCTCAGCCTCGTTGGGAGACTCTTTAATCGCGACCGAAGAAATGTTGAAGCTCTTATCTCCCTTCTCCCACGCCCTAACATTTGGGATGTGGAGGGAAGAGTGCGCGGCCTGGATTTAGGAAACCATCGCTTCCAGTTTGACTTTGATTTTGAAGAGACCTTGTCATTTCAACAAATGGTCCTTCTCGCTGGAAAGATGGGCTCCTCATATTGGGGACACCTTCCCGAATACTATGACATTTTGGATTTGTGCTATTGGCATTTCCACTCACTTCTGGCTCGAACCTATCTTCCGAACCTTAGATGATAGACTAGGCTTTGTTGGCCTCATCAAAGCCAAGGCTGCTAAGTTTTAGGTTCAAATTAATGTTGATTTACCTCTGAAGGTTGCTTTGAGAGCACAGATTCCGTCTGGAGAAATTGTTCCAGTGAAACTGGAGCATGTCAACCTCCACCGGTGGTGTCTACACTGTCGACATATCTCCCATGTAGCAAATACATGCCCGGAACTCTCTGAAGAACAAAGAAGAACCTTTAAAAAATCAAGAGAAGTTGATAGAGACCAAGACAAGACAACTAAAAATGATTTTACTAGGAAGGATGATCTATCAAGGAGACCTTCTCTTAGGGAGGAGAAGGCTGGGTTTGTTCAGGACAGACAGACAATGGTTGATCCTTATAGGGACAACAGGGACAGTGTGTGGAAACGCAGGGACCTCCACCTTAAGCCCCGTGATGGACACCATCATGAGTCTCGTCCTGATCACTATCCTAGAGGCAGAGACTTTATTGATCGTAATATGAACTCATATGACAAGAATTCTCAAGACTATGGTGCTTATAACAAGCGACGCTATGAGGATTCCTACAGCTCCAGCAAGCAAAGAGAAAAAGAAAAACGTTCAGATAACAAATGCTACTATTGACGCTATGAGTCGCTCAAGAGGAGAGACTGGTCACCACTCTGGAAGTAATCAGATTCTGTCTTCGAAAGAACCAGCTATGTACCGGCTTTATGTGCCCCCTCGGATAACCTCCACGCACAATGCTACTATTGAGGCTGATACATGAGCTCGATACATTTCGGCTTCTCCTGAACACCTAAGGGAAAGACCACAAAAAAGTTCATCTAAGGAACCAAAACTGAAAGGGAAAGTATCAGACCTGGAAGACTCTTCTGATGCTGGAAGCTCGGCTAAGAAGAGCCTAAAGTTTGATGATGGAAACATTCCATCTTCACGAGATGCCACTTCCTCAGTTTTCCCGATTCATGAAAAACCAACCATTAAAAGTTGGTATGATCAAACGATAAAAGAAGAGGAATCAATGGCTCAAAAGACTCGATGCCCTACATATATAATTTCGAAAGGTCAAATCACGGCGGTGAATGATCCTGAGGCTGAGAAAATCTTGGAAGATGAGGATTGGGTGGAAGACAAAGAAAAAAAAGGAGAAGATGAATATGAAGAGGAATTCAATAAGGAGGATCTGATGGATGAGGATGATCTATTGCTAGAGGAGGAAAATGAGGTTTTTGAAGAGGATGTTCTTGCATCGGGATCCCTGAAGTCGAAGACAGCGAAGAGCTCTGAAACTCCTAACTGGTGGAAAGGGAGCCCGGAGATTGCGACTGCAAAAGCTGTGGGAGGCTCGAATTCTGGAACCCAGGGAGACATGGCCCGTCTTGTCCGTACGCCGTCGGTAAGGGTTGGTTCATCAACGTCGAAAAAGAAGAATTCCCCTAGCCCAATTGCTGCAGGCTTTTCTTTAAAAAAAAAGGAATCTGTTGATGGGCCGGGCTTCGCCAAAATCATCAGCTACATCAAAAGGCATTACTGGGCCAAACCTTGGTCCTGCATCTTCTTTGGACCGGGCCTCTCTTCCAGGCCTGAAAAAAACAACAAAAGGGAGTTCAAAAAGCCAAAACAAATCAGCAAAGGTGGGAACTAATAAGCCACCAAAAATCCAAGATGAATACAATCGCGTGGAATTGTCAAGGGGCGGGAGCCGGCTTGACGAATGAACATCTCAATGAATTGTACTACTGTTTTCTACCTAATTTTTTATTTTCTTTCGGAGACCAAAAACAATCGGAATTTTTTGCAAGATGTGCAAGTTTCTTTTGGATATGACCATGTGTACCGTGGACTCGGTTGGTCGAAGCGGAGGTCTAGCTTTGTTTTATATGGATGATCCCTCGGTTTGTATTTTATATGCAAACAAACATATAATCGATATTGAAACTAGGCTTGAAGGACATGCGATTTTTATGACGTTTGTATATGGTGATCCGGATGTTAGATATCAAGACTTGGTGTGTGAACGTTTATCACGCATCGGTACTACCCGAAGCGAAGCATGGTTTATGATTAGTGATTTCAATGAGCTCACATGCAACCATGAGAAGAGGGGAGGAAGACGTCGCCCAGAAAGCTATTTCCTTCCCTTCCGAATCATGCTGGAAAACTGTGGGATGCTCGACTTTCTATATAAAGGAAATTCTTTCTCATGGGTGGGAAAAAGAAAACATGGAAAAGTTAAAGTAAACTGGATATAGCTGTGGCAAATGAGGAATGACACACCCTTTTTCCCATAGTGTCGTGGAATACCTACAACTATGGGGGTTGGACCATCGCCCAGTCTTCACGAGAATACAATCTTTCATCCGAAAAACTAAGAAGAACTTCAGATTCGATAAGCGGTGGATAGGGAAACCCGGTTTCAAAGAAGCGGTAACCTTGGG